GAAGCTCTTAATTTTTGTTTCTAGTAAACCGGATTTAACCAAACCGGAACAAACCATATCATGTGACTTGCACGTGGTTAATTATCCTTAAACATCAAATTCATCTTCTTCCTAAACCTCTCAGATTCTCTAGTCCTTCGCTTTCACCAGCCACCTAACCATCTTTAAATTCGCTTAAGAGCACAATTTTCTTCGTCTCTGAAAAATTAGTAGAAATGGTGGATGATAATTCGTGGGATAAATGTGTTGAAGAAGCAGTGAATGTGCTTGAATCTCGGCAACTGCTTCGATCTTTGAGACCCATTTGTATGTCTACGCAAAACGAAGAAGAATTGGTGAAAAACAGAGGTAATGAAGGAAACGAGTACGAGGTGTTCGACGGTATGCGTCAATGGGATCGGGCTTCGGTCGAGGTTTCTGTCTCGGTACCCACATTTCAGAAATGGCTGCACGATGAACCTAGCAACGGTACGTTTCTTGCCTCCGAGAGTTTCGGAGTTTCCAAAGTTACAGTTTTTTTTTTTTTTTCAGAAAAAAACCAAAGTGTGATTCCTTTTATTAGACACCGATTCTTGATTTTATAGTATCTCAATGCTGCAAAATAATGAGTATAATTGATGGATATAAATGAGGTTTGATGAGGCAAGGTATGGTTTTTTTTTTTTGTTGCTTCACATTATCAGGAGAAGAGATTTCTAGTGAAGATGCATTAGCTGAGTGTAGCAAAGGGAGATTCAAGAAGCTACTTCTGTTCTCTGGGAATGATTATTTGGGTTTGAGCTCACATCCCACAATATCAAACGCTGCTGCAAATGTATGTTTCCATAACTTTTTTTCATGTCAATAAACTTAGGTATAGATTTCTATCCACTGCCTTATGTTTTTTCTTCAAGGCAGGCAGTCCAAAAATATGGTATGGGACCTAAAGGTTCTGCATTAATATGTGGCTATACCACTTATCATCGTTTGCTTGAGTCTAGTTTGGCGGAACTGAAGAAGAAGGAGGTAAGAATAAGTACTTGCTTGAATGATTAAAATGAAGTCTCATGATGTTGATATATTTCAAGCTGAAAACAGATGGTGTGTTTATCCTCTTAGGATTGTCTTGTTTGTCCTACTGGGTTTGCTGCCAATATGGCTGCAATGGTTGCTATTGGAAGTGTTGCTTCTCTTTTGGCTGCTACTGGGAAACCTCTAAAGAATGAAAGAGTGGCCATCTTTTCTGATGCTCTGAATCATGCATCAATCATTGATGGAATTCGTCTTGCTGAACGACAAGGAAATGTTGAAGTTTTTGTGTATCGACACTGTGACATGTTTCACCTTAATTTATTACTGTAAGTTCTTCAGGCTCCTATTCCTTCCTTGTTATATACTAGTTTCTTTTGCCATTCATGTCATCTATAATTATTTGGACAGATCAAGTTGCAAAATGAAGAGGAAGGTCGTGGTCACTGATAGGTCAGTTTCATTTGCTACTCACTTACTGCTCTTGTTTTATAGTAGTTAACAGTGAGTACTGATCACAGCTTTGTCTCTCTTGCTTTTCATGCACATGTCTCTGTTCATACTGCTATCTACAAAGGCTAAAACTTTATTTCAATATGACGTCTTTGGTGGTTTGAGACTACTGTGGACATACGAAAGGAAGTTCTAATGGTTTGATCTCATTTTTGGTTTTGACAGCTTATTTAGTATGGATGGTGATTTTGCACCAATGGAAGAGCTCTCTCACCTTCGGAAGAAGCATGGTTTCTTACTAGTTATTGATGATGTAAGTTGGTTGAATGTTCTAGTTAAAAAATTGAGGTGTTTGTGTCAACTACTTTTTGCTGAAGAAATATGAGTTGATCGATCAGGCCCATGGAACATTTGTTTGTGGAGAAAATGGTGGTGGTGTGGCCGAGGAATTTGACTGTGAAGCCAATGTAGATTTATGTGTGGGCACTTTGAGTAAGGCAGCAGGGTGTCATGGTGGATTCATAGCTTGCAGGTACACATAATAGCATCTGAAATTCGTGAACCAAGATTCTGTTGTAGTGGTGGTTTAGTTCTCTAAGGTTCATGAAAGCTTATGATTCTGAATTGTTTCGGTTGAAACAGAGATTTCAATGTAGTAGTAAAATTGTTCCACTTATTTTTTTCAAAAACAGCAAAAAGTGGAAGCAACTGATCCAATCGAGAGGTCGTTCATTCATATTTTCAACAGCAATACCTGTCCCGATGGCTGCAGCTGCTTATGCAGCGGTTGTAGTGGCTCGGAAGGAGAAATGGAGAAGAAAGGCAATATGGGGGAGAGTGAAAGAGTTTAAGGAATTATCTGGAGTTGAAATCTCAAGCCCCATTATCTCACTTATTGTAGGCAATCAAGAGAAAGCCCTCCAAGGAAGCCGG